GGCTGGAACAAAGGTGAGTGCTCACGGGGATCCCCACACACAGCCTGGTGCGGGGCCAGGGCTACATCAGTGAGGAAGCCAATAAGGTGTGAGCCCATTTCCTTCCGCCTTCGTGTTTGTGCTTTGTGACACCGTGGTGCTCAGGGAGTGAAGAGCCACCTGCCGCAAGCCCGCCCGACTCAAGAGCTACGCTCTGAACATGCCATCTCCAGCTTCAGGGTCTGTTCACTCAGAGAGCTCCGTGAGCCGTGGAGGCTGACACTCACACCGTGAGCACTGTAGTCTGCTTGGCGATGTTATTGAATATTAGACCCGCCTGACGGGAGGCCGGCCCTGGGCTACACAGAAGCCGGGTCTGCCGGACGTTACTGGGTAGAGTTGAAAAGCTGAAGAACAACATCCCATGAACAACATTAAACTCTGATTTCATGTTACAAAGTTATTACATAAATTTGAATCACTTGTCAGCTCAATTCTGCATCTCAAATCTCTAACTGATATTTTTAAGTTTGGAAATCAAAAATATGGAACCTTTGTTGCGACCGTCGGGGGAGAGCTAAGGCTTCACACGTGGGCGCCAGGTGCACGTGCTGCTCAGTTCATGTGAAAGAGGAAGGAAAATGAAAGCATAGGAGTATGCCTGGCGGGGCGCGCTGGGGTGCAGAGATGAGGACCTGGCCTTGGAGGGAGGCCACAGTGAGACTCAGAGTCAGGGGACCGGAGCAGCCACCGTCTCTGAGGCTCAGCCCATTTCTACACGAGGGAGACAATACTGAGCAGTTCGTTCTGTCCAGGATGAAGGAATAATGTAGTAGATCGTCTGGCACAGTGTCTGGCACACGGACTGCTCGACAGGTTCGGGGCTGGGGGGTAGGCCAGGCCAGGAATAAGCTGGGTGTCAGTGCCTTGCTCGCCGGGTGTGCCACCTGGTGAAGAGGAGAGACTCAGGCCAGTGCTCCTGGACACCCACGGCTCAGATTTCCAGGGAAAAGCCAGGAAATAAACAGGCTGTGGGGCCCTCGTGATCTGCTAAAGTAGCAGGAAAGCAGCCATAGACTGCATGTGAATAAATGACTTTGGCTGTTTGAATAAAACTTTATTTTTTAAAAATATATTTTATTGATATTTAACAGAGAGGAAGGGAGAGGGATAGAGAGCTAGAAACATCAATGAGAGAAACATCGATCAGCTGCCTCCTGCACACCTCCCACTGAGGATGTGCCCGCAACCAAGGTACATGCCCTTGACCAGAATCGAACCCGGACCTTTCAGTCCGCAGGCTGACGCTCTATCCACTGAGCCAAACCGGTTAGGGCATAAAATTTTATTGATAAAAGCAGGTGGTGGGCCTGACAGCCTGTGGACAGTAATTTGCCAGCCCTTGGTCTAGTCTTGCCTCAGGTGTGACCGGCGCAGGTGGCTGAGGGGCAGGAAGGCAGCCCCTCCCATCTCTGAGGACCAGCGGGTCTCTTCCCTGAGAATAGTATCCAGGGATAAGCCTGACCGGGACCCTGACGCCATCCCCTGTCCCTCCATCCCAGAAGCTAGGAGGGTAACCAGCTAACTGATGGCACCAACTGCCTCCCCAATGTGTGTGCCTCGGCTCAGTCAGACAGCAAACAGGTGACTCCCTCACAGACAATCAGTATTTACTGAAACTTACTGTTTGCCAGGGAGGTTTGTTGGAAAACCTGTATGTTGTAGGCTTGTAATGAATCAGTAAAACTTCCCCCTCTTGACAGATTCCTTCCTGCTCTCCATCAGAGCCCAGAGGGGGTGCTGTCCCTGTCTGAGTGGACCTGGAAGGAAGCAGGGCTCCAGGGGTGGGCGCCGTGATGGAATCCCTGCCCCGGCTCCGGACGGTGGACGGTGACCGCCGCTGCCAGGCTACTCCCACCCATCACACCCTGCTCCCACACCTTTCCTTTGTGCAGAGATGGCCATCTTTTTAATCAACTCACTTAACATTGATTATAATGAGAACCAAAAACTTAAAACACAGCCTTGAATCTAAAGCTAATACAGACCCTGACTTCTGTCCACCCACAGGCCGCCCTCCCCAGCTCTCCCGCTCCCTCTGCACAGCCGCCAGCGCGGGCTTGGGTTGCAGGTCACTGTGTGTGTGGGGGGGGGGGCGAGAATCTTACATATTATTAAAAGGGTATCATGTTGTAAGTTATTTTCCATTAGTGGACCCAGGTGAATTGCATTTACTCATTCTTATCCTGCTAAGTTTTATCCATACTCTTACATGGATCTCGAGTGGATTCATTTATTTGCCGGTTACTTTTTTTGCCTTGTTAATGCTCAGTTGGATTGTTTCCAGGGTTCTGGCTCCATAAGCAAGGCTCCCATGGCCTTTCTTGTCTCTGGGATGCATATGGAAGTTTATTTTGGGTGGATACACAGGAGTGGAACTGACGGATCCTGGGTATGTAAATATTCCATTGTATAAAAGAATGGCACACTTGTTGCTAAAGTGGTTGTACTGAGTACACTCTCCTAGCTATTAGCCACCTGCCACTCCTGCCCTCCCACCACCTCTTATTCTGTGGGAGTCTAGTTGATGGAAAATGATATATCTTTATGGTCTCAATTTGCATTTCCTGGATCACTAATGATTTTGAATATCTCTTCACATAATTATTGGCCATATGTGTTGTCTCTTCTGTGAAAGGCCTGTGCAAGTCTGTAGCCTATTTTTCTATTAAATTGTTTGAACTTCTCTTACTGATTTGTAAAAGTTCTTTATATAATCTGGATGTTAATCCTGTATTGGGTATATGCCTTGTAAATATTCCTGCCACTGTGATATGTGCTTTTTTATTTTTTAAGTGTCTTATAGTTAATAGAAGTTTAATAAAGTCAGAAGTAGCCATCCTTTCTTTCATCACAAGTGCTTTTGTAGCCCTGCTGCAATGAACCCTGGGAGTTCCCTGTGTGGGTGGAAGATGGCTCTGAGAGATGAGGAAGCAGGGGGGATGCTCAAAGGCCACCCGGACCAGGCTGCACATTAATGAGAGGCCTTACATCAACGTTGTCCTCATCATCTCCACATGAGGCTCCTACCGCACACGCCTCCCTGCCAGGGTTCAGGGGAGACCGACAGCTGACGATCAGAGTGCCATCTTATGCAGGTGTTAATAAATCAGCAAGCGTGGCAATAGCACCATTTATGTTGCATTTTATTACTTTTGCTAAGGTATCACTTGGTTAAATGTAAATATTCAAGATCTGCCATAACATGAACTTTTATGTGTTTTAAGTATCTGGAGACCCCAGATTTGCCCCAGCCTCTCTCAACTTTGAGGGTTCCTGGTGGGAAAAGTGCTACAGGTGCTGGTGGGCATGGAGCTGGGACTGGCACCCACCTGTGGCAGGTGAAGCTGGGACCCGCACCCATGTGTGGCAGGCGGAGCTGGGACCCGCACCCACGTGTGGCAGGCGGAGCTGGGACCCGCACCCACGTGTGGCAGGCGGAGCTGGGACCCGCACCCACGTGTGGCAGGCGGATGACAGGCTCCAGAACCACACACGCTGCTGTCGAAGTGGCTGAGCACTCTGCACTAACTGCAGTGTGAGGTCGCCGCCCATGGGCTCTCACTCCACAAGGAGCATGGAGCCAGCTGCTGTGTCCCCCCTGGACAGGAGCCACACTCAGCCTGAACGGCCCCTGGCTCTACAGCAGGACCCAGACCTCTGCCTCTTTCCCTGGGCCTGTGGGCTCCCCTGGGGGGTGGGGCTGGGAGGGTTCTGAGCACCCTTGACATCATGAAGAGCAGGGCGGTGGGTCCTGGTGGCCCTGGAGCGTTCCCCACACGGTCCCCGCATAGCCACGGCGCTCTGCAGGAAGACCAACTGCCAGCAAGTGGCTGGGGATATGGAACAGAGGTGTGTGCACGAGTGTGAGTATGTGGGAGTGTGGGTGACAGTGTGAGAACCTGTGAGCTGGTCACACAGAGGGGCCTTATACCAGAAGGAAGTGAGGAGACACCGAAGCAGACTGGACAGGGGTGTGTGTGTGTGTGTGTGTGTGTGTGTGTGTGACACTGTGTGTGTGTGTCTGCCTGAGGGTGTGTATGTGAGAGAGAGGCATGTGGCATGTGTGTGGGAGGTGCCATAGGTACAAGGGAGGGGTGCTGAGGCACCCTGGCCAGCGCCTGCTCACAGGGGCGCGTCTGTCTCACACCATTCGCTAATGACCACAGGGACAGCAGCCCCAGAGGCCAGCACCACTGGACAGAGGGTGCCCCCACCGGCAGCTCCTGACACCACCTTCCTCTCACCATCCTCCTCCTCACTGACCGCCAGGCCCGTGCTGGATAAAGGCAAACTCCGCAGCCTGAACCCCTGGCGCCGCCCCCTAAGGGAGGTGATGCAGTGTCTGACTGTATCTGTGTAATGGGATGATCATGATTAATTCAGTGCACAGAGGAAATCACCTGAAATAAATGAGCAAATTCTAACCCACTCCTGAAGGATGTGATGGCTTTTCTCCACCCTCCTCTCTCCTGGCTCCTTCCAGCCTTACCCCCCCCCACCTTGGTTTCCCCCAACACAGCCTGCACCCTCGGCCCGATGCCCTCACCACCGTCTCCCTGGCACAACCTTCGCCACCGGCAGACCCACGCGCGCCCTCCTCCCTCCCTCCGCGTCTCGCCTAGCCTCTCGTTTTCTTTTGCTGAGTGTCCTCGTGCTGGTGGCAGGCACCGCTGGGCCGGCATCCTGAGACCACAGGAAGGAGGCCCATGTCTCAGGCTCAAGCCGCCTGCTCTTCGCTGACCCCTTGAAAACTGACGGTTTGGTACCTAACGAGCAGCCCCTCCGTGTGTTGCCAAGAATGTGCGTCTACCCAGGAAACACGTGTGTCCCACGTGGCAGCCACGTGCTGGTAAAAATGCCAATCTACCTGCTGGAGGTGGAAGCTCTGCAGTGACAGGGCTGTTCAAAGAGGTGACCGCGCCCACAGCACCCGCAGGCTGGGGGCCGCTCCTGCCTACCTTCCTGATGCCTTCCGAGGGGCTGGACACGCAGTTGTCGGCGCCCCCGTTCTTGCTGATGGTCCGCCAGAGCTCGGCAAACGTGCTGTCCTGCTCCAGGGGGTTGGTGCCCTTGGCCCGGAAGTACTCGTACACAGCCGAGCCGCGCACCGTGCCGTAGGGCAGCTCCACCTGCTTGGACAGGTCCTGGAACGTCCTGAAATGCAAACAGGCTGTGAGCCACGGGCCCAGGCTGCCCACTGAAGGGCCAAACATGGGCTGCGAGGCCTCCTGAGGTCCGAGCCCAGCGGTGGCCCTGACCCACACTGCTCACCCCACCCCAGCAGCACAGATCCCTCAGCCCAGGGCGAGACTTGCCAAGGACGCATTCTACCGAAGTTGTTTCCTCGGTGAAGATTAATTCAGTAAAGTTCTGAGCACCTCAGACCAGGGCCTGTGCTGAGCTCAAGGGACAAAGGATGAGCAGGTCATGACCCTGCCCTCCAGGAGCTCGGAGTCCAGCTGTGGAGACTCGCGGAGACGACCTCCAAGTGAGCCTCAGCGCAGGGAGAGGCGGGTACTGGCGCTCTCCACCCACACCCAGGGCACAGGGAAGAAGGCAGCTGACGAGGTTGAGGACAGCCACTGGCCTGGAGCCCGGAGCTGGAGTATGCCAGTTTAGAGGCGGGCCCTCCGCAGCGGGCAGCGGGGCCGAGGTCCACCCACTGTCACCCTCTGAGCATCTCCGGCCACTTTGTTTTTCAATAAAGAGATAAATCTGGGCTTTCCTATGAGATCACTTGATTTTTAAGTGTTGACAATTATTGAAAAGATGGCAAAGATAAAACAAAACACTTCTGAGGGCCTCGGGTCGCTGTCCATGGAGGAGAAGCCGGCAGCTCAGGCCAGGAGCACTGTGAGGAAGGGCGTGTCCCAGGAAACCCCGGGGGTGCCCAGGCCAGCAGAGGAGGAAGGCTTGGGTGAGATGCATCCCGGCCAGTGGGCACCCCGCTCAGCTGTGCGAGCTGCGCCCTGGCTCAGTGTGCTGCGAGAATGTCGCACACAAAACAGAAGGACAGGGAACGAAGGCCTCCGTGGGGAGGAGCCTCTTCCTGAGCTCCAGTCGCTCACCCTGTCCTCATGTCTCTTCTGGAAACCTGTGTCCTTTTCATCAACCGAACACCATCCCCCCCTCACTGAGTCATAGTTCCAGTGAGACCAGACTTCTCACCTGACCTTCACAACCCTCCTCCCCGGCCTCATCTCCGCCGGGGCCCCTCCACAACCCGGAGCCAATGCTAAAATGAGAAGTCCCCATCCAGGTCCCTGTCCCGGGCCCCAGGCCCCAGTGCCCCTCTCCCTGGGATCCCTTATCTCACTCATCCACCCATTCCCTTGCTTCTGGCTTCTGCTGCCATGAACCTCTTGAAGACCCAGCTGCCACTCTCCCCGTGGAGCCCCGGCTGTGCCCACCTCCCTGGGCCACTCTGAGCTCTGCTGGCTTCAGAGGCAGCACACAGCCCAGTGAGGGCAGGTGGGTCCGAGGCCAGGCCTCCCCTGCCCCAGCGCCCCTCACAACCCGGCGGCCAGGCCTCCCCTGCCCCAGCGCCCCTCACAACCCGGCGGCCTGGCAAGTGCGCTAAAGTCTGTGCCTCAGTTTTCAAACCTTTTAAAAGTAAGGTCAGAAGCAGAGCCGCCGTGGCTGGCTACCGTGGCCATGAAATGAGGTGGTGTGCTCAGCCCCAGAGCAGCAGTGCCCCACGCAGATCCATGCGTGGCGTGAGCCAGCGCTGGGCACCGGCACTGCTGGTGTGTCCTCCGTGGAGTGTGGCCCTGAGGACTGAGGCTGGGTGTCTCCTGCCCCCAGCGTGGCCGGGCTCACCCAGCCTCACAGCCAAGGACGTCGCTTGCTCTGTGGCCGCTCTGTGCTTCTGCAGGCCCTGACGCAGCCCAGGCCCAGAGCTCAGCATTCATTTCAATGCATCACGGATGAAAGGGAGCACAAAATCACAAATCTGATGAAGAAATCTTTCCAATTATCGCCCATTATTTTATCTAATTGAAGCAAGATGCTCCTTTGCCTGCAGGGCCTGCAGGCTATACCTCCGCCGTAGTTGCCTGTGAAGGAGGAACATTTACACATGTGTTTATGTTTGCCATGGCAACACAGACACAGCCAGGCTCTGATGGGCGGGAAGCACCAGGACGGCTGACGCAGGTGCCGGTAGACCGGGCTGCTCTGCGTTTCCACGGGCGGGTACGTACGGGTGCAGCCTCCAGGCGCTCAGCACCGGCTCCTCCCGCCTCTGAAAGGAGAGAGGCTCTCTCCTCCGGACACGTGTTGGCAATGGTGAGCTGCCCAGAGCTTCGGCGAGCACCTCTGGATGACAAAGAGGCTGCCTCACACCCCTGCTGTCTGAGCTCAGCGTTCCCACCGCAAAATGCCCCTCCAGCTTCTCTCTGCCAGCCGGTGGTCGGCCCAGGCCTCCACCCATCCGCTCCATGACCTTTAGTCTGCAGGGAGGGCTCTCCCATCTCAAATGCAGCTTCCTCTCTCAAGGAAAATCTCCAGCTCACCAACGTGCCCAGCACACACCGGGCACTGCCACCCATCTCAGTGGACACACCTACAGAAAGCCATTTGGAGGTCTGATCAGGGAGCCCAGCTATTCACACCCCGAGTCAGCCATCTTCCTGGGCACACCCTCTCGTCGGGGTGTAAATTTGGAAGGGACACAGGGGGAGGACTATCACCCCGGCTCCAAGCCCACACGGGCAGCCAGCAGAAAGCAGGCGCCCGCGTCAGACAGGACGCCCGTCCACACCAGGGGGGCCACCGGCCCCGAGAAGCGGCCCTGGCAGCACACTTACGCTAGCCTGTTTGTCAGTGTAGGCTCTTCAGCAGGGCCCGCTAGAGAGCACCCCCGGGAAATGAAGAGCCGCTCCTCAGCGGTGGGGCTTCTGTGAGCCTACGGTGCCTGGTGCAACTAGCCGAGGCCATTCCAACAGTTGTTCCACCAGCAGTGGTCATGGACTTGCACCTGCATCAGAATCCACTTCAGAACAGCTAACCTACTAGGTAGAACTCAGCGGCACATACAGCAAGGACTGGATGCTGGGCACCTCCAAGGGGTCCACAGTGTGGGGCGGTGGGCAGAGAAGTGGCCGCACAATGAGAGACTAGAGTGGCATTCTTCAGGCCCTGGGAGCTCAGAGGGCTGTCAGCTCCTGAAAAGAAGAAAGACTTCCTAGAGAGGAAACAGTAAGCCAGGCACAAGGGCTGGGGAGGTAGCCAGCTGGAGGGCCAAGGGCTAGAGTGTTGTGGGAAGAGCAGACATTGCCTGAGGAGGCCCTGACATGAAGAAACATGGCTCATTTGGGAGAAGGCACTCAGCTAAAACACGCAGGTCTGGAATCAGACAGACTGTGAGGTGAACCCTAACTCTGAACAGTGCAGTGTTTGAGGTAGACCAGTCATTCTCAGAGTGGACTTCAGGCATCAGCACCGCCGGGGACCTTCTAAGAAATGCAAATTCTGGGGCCCCACCTCAGATCTACTGAAGCAGAAACCTTGGGGTGGCACTCAGCCGTTTGCTTTCACAGCCCTCCAGGTGATTCTGATGCAGGTGCAAGTCCATGACCACTCACTGAGGCCAGCCATCTAATGTCCGAGGTCTTACTTTTCTTGATGCATATCTTTCTCACAGGACTGGTGAAGGTCAAAGATCACAGACATATACCCGGCATGCAGTCAGTATTTAATAAATGCCAGCTCCCCTGTTAGGCCATCAACAAGGTATTGCAATGGTTGAAGCCGAGAAGCCATGTGAGGAGAGATGGGTGACAGCACCCAGGTGTTCACACCTGGATGGAAGCAATTGTGGGAAGGCAGCACATTTCCAGGGCTTGCAGGCTCATGGCATCGGCCCAGCTAGTAAGATGCCTGTGGTAGATTGTGTCTCCATCTTGTTGCCAAGGTACAAGCCAATGATTCACTATAGCAACCAATCTAGTCACCTTAGGATGCCCAAATTGAAGATCTGAGAAAGTCTGAACCCAGGATGTGCATGGGACATCGAACTTCCCTGAGATGCAATCTGGACCCTTGCTCAGTGGATCATCATGGTGACTCCGTAGCAGAGGCCTCCCTAAGGAAGTAGTGAGCATCTGGGCGAGGAAAGCTGCTATGGAAGATATCTTTAAAAGCATCAGCACCAGCGAGTAGAATGAAGGAAAAAAATAAGATCAGAGCAGAAATAAACAAAATAGAGTCTAAAAAAACAATACAAAAGATCGATGAAACCAAGAGCAGGTTCTCTGAAAAGATAAATAAGATTGACAAACCTTTAACCAGACTCATAAACAAAAAAAGCGAGCGGACCCAAATAAATGAAATCAGAAATGAAAAAGAAGTAACAACTGACACCAAAGAAATACAAAGGATTGTAAGAAAGTATTATGAACAGGCCAACAAATTGGAGAACCTGAGAGAAATGGACAAATTCTTAGAAACATACAATCTTCCAAAACTAAATCAAGAAGAATCAGAGAATTGTAATAAACAGATTACAACTAGAGAAATTAAAGCAGTAATCAAAAAACTTCTAAACAAACAAAAGCCCTGATGGCTTTACAGGTGAATTTTACCAAAGATTCAAAGAAGAACTAACACCTATCCTTCTCAAACTATTCCAAAAAATTCAAGAGAAAAGAAGACTCCCGAGCTAATTTTATGGGGCCAGGATTATCCTAATTCCAAAGCCAGATAAAGACACTACAAAGACAGAAAATTATAAGCCAATATCCCTGATGAACACAGAAGCTAAAATCCTCAACAAAATATTAGCAAATTGGATCCAATAATACATTAGAAAGATCATACACTATGACCAAGTGGGATTTATTCCAGGGATGCAAGGCTGGTATAATATTCACAAATCAGTAAACGTTATACACCACATAAACAAAATGGAGGATAAAAATCACATAATCACATCAATAGATTCAGAAATGGCATTTGATAAAATCCAGCAACTATTTATGATAAAAACTCAGCAAAGTGAGAATAGAGGAAGTATTTCCCAACATAATAAAGACCATATATGACAAACCTATAGCCAACATCATACTCAATGGGCAAAAAATATAAGCATTCCCCTTAAGATCAGGAACAAGACAGAGTTGTCTGCTTTCACCACTCTTATTTAACACTAGAGG